CTGAGCTAGAAATACAGATGGCATCTGGATTGTTATTAAAACCAGGAGTAGATAGAATGGGTTATCTTGGAATTCTAAGTAACACTTAAAGGGCTAGTCGAAGAAGAGGATTTCAGAAAGGAGTAAACAGAAAGATAGGAAAACCAGAAAAGTATGGCATCATGGAAGCCAAGGGATGGCAGTACAAAAAGGAGTGATAGGTCAGTAACTGTCAAATGTGACAAGAGTAAGATTGGGAAGGATTAAGAAGTGTCTGATGATGATGATGATGCAGAATTCAGTGATGCTGGTAAGAGGAGTCTTAATGGAATTTTGGGGGTAGGCAGTACCAGAGAAAATAAGCAGTATAATAAGAAAAAAGTCCATGTTTCTGTTTTATCAGCACTGTATTGCACTCTTGAATAATGGCTGTGGAGTTAACAAATAAGTGAAGACAATATGTGTTTTTGATTTTTTGAAGAATACTTGAGATTAAGGGAAGGACAGAGTGTAGTTAGGAGATAAGAGGTTGTGTAATATTTTTTGTTTTGTTTTTAAGGTCATAGAGAATTGGGACTATTTAAGTGTCAATGAAAATGAACTGGCCTTCAGGGAGTGGTTGAAAATAAAGCTGTGGGAGGGTAGGAGACATAACGAATCTAGCAAGATACTGGAGAACACTTGGAGGGGGAAACCAGAGGACAGGTGGAAAAAATTAGGTTTGAAAGAAAGGATGCCTCCTCTTTCATTTAATAGGTGGAAAGGAGATTATTAGGTGGGTCCGAACGCAACAAAGTATGTCAGTTTTGTGACAGAAAGTTGAGAATGAGTTCCTCTCATGTTTTCTATGTTTTTTTTTTTTTTTTGAGACACAGTCTCACTGTGTTGCCCAGGCTAGAGTGCCGTGGTGTTATCCTCACTCATAGCAACCTCAGACTCCTGGGCTCAAGCGATCCTACTGCCTCAGCCTCCCGAGTTGCTGGGACTACAGGCATGCGCCACCATGCCCGGCTAATTTTTTCTATATATTTTTGGTTGTCCAATTAATTTCTTAATATTTTTTAGTAGAAACGGGGTCTCGCTCTTGCTCAGGCTGGTTTCGAACTCCTGAGCTGAAACAATCCGCCCGCCTCCGCCTCCCAGAGAGCTAGGATTACAGGCGTGAGCCACTGCACCCGGCCTCTATGTTTTTAATAAAGTAGAAAGTGATCATCTGCAGAGAGGAGGAGGGTGTTGGGAATCAGATTTAGAGCAGAGTGCGGGTTTGAAATACCCTTTTGGAGAATAGAGGGGAGGGCTAACCGGGGGGAACAGATTGAGTGTGTCCTTACTTTTCTTCAGTAGCATAAAAAAAACTGGGTATAAATGTGGACAGGCCGTCTGTTAGATAAACGGCTAAGATTTGTTAGCTAAGTGAGGTAGGATAGTGAGACACCACGGAGTGTTTGAAGTGAATTTTAGTGGTTGAGCACTGATGGTAATAAATTCAGTTATGTTGGTCCAAACATGGAATTTTGCCCAGCAGGCTCAGCAGAAAGACAAGGGAGTTTTTGATGTTAGGAATAAGGTAATAGGAGCATTGGCATTGTTGTCTAAGCGGAATAGAACTAGTAGTGAAGATAGAAGTAAACCTAAGAGACTTTAGGTACCACAGTCTTAGTGAGGTTCAAGAGCAAGTGTAGTGAACGTTATTTAGGAACTAGTAGGAATGGGAGATTGGTCACTTATAATCTCAAAGATGGAACAGTTTTTGGATGACAGCATTTAGCCTGTGTCCTGTGAGTGGGTGACTTAAATGGATTGGAAGTAAAGATCATTGTTGTGTTGAGCTTGAGGAACAATACCAGAATTTTGGACAGGTCAGTGAACCTGGTTCCAAAGTCTAGTTGAGTTAATTTTTTGATACATTACCAGAAGTGGTAGTGTTGGGTCAAATGCCCTCTCCTCTTTAACAATGTTGAGGCATTTTGGCATATTGCTCTCAAAGATTTAAATCATTTAATACTTTCATTCTGAGAATATGTCTGTTCACACTTGTTTACACCAAGAATTGTTCAAAACAGTCTTGTCCAGTGTAGCAGTCTATTGGATTAATGACATGTGACATCACATTTGTGTTTTTGGTTACTAATGAGGTTGAACATTCTGTGTGACTAATTGTGAATCGCTTGGCCTGTTATTTGTCTTTTTTGTTTTTGTTGTTGTTAGCTCAGGAAGAGTTTTGTACCTTTGCTTTTTCTTGATTCTTTTATTTGCATTTTTCTTTTTGTTATTTGTCTTGGTTTTTCTATCTGAGTTGTATGCTTAGCTTATTAATTTTTCTTTGTTGAATAAAAATGTTTAATGCTAGACTATGATTTCTTTAGCCAAATGATACAAGTGTTGTGTACAGAGTTCTCATTGTTATGTTCTTAATATTCTTTAATCACATTTTTTATTACTTTGGAGGAAAAGATTTTTAGTAGTAAATGATTAGAGGGTTTTTGGTCCAATTTTTCTTAATTTATTGGGTTTTTGGGGTTTTTTTACTTTTGTCCCCTCCTCCCTCTTTTTTGATTTACAAAACTAGAAAGTAGGTCCAGTGTTTATTTGGGCTTTTAGAAATATAGTGAAATACTTTTTGTGGCCTAAATTTTAAAAATACTCTATGGGTGCTGGAAATACAAATACAGTTTCTGTTGAATAGACAACTTTATATAGTATATATATTAAATCTATCTTAATTACCTCACTCATTCTAACCTGTCAAGATTGAGATAATCCTGGTTATTTCTTTTACTTTTTGCTTCATATATTTTCTTCTTCCATTTTTATGCTGTATTCATTTATTCATTCAAAATATGATAATTGAGCATCCACTATGTACTATCCCAAAAACTGAGTTCACACAGTGACACAAGTGATTTGTAATTCATTTGTAGTTTTCACCAAGTAATCATATTTGCAAGTACTACATCTCTATTCTCCCTCTGTAAATAAAAAGTTTGAAAGGAAATTTACCATTCACCACTGAGTGTTCCACCGATGTTCTGCCATCACTTAGTTGACTGGGCAAGCCATTTAGCATGAAAAATAGCAGTCCTCAAACTTTTTGGTTTTAAGACTCCTTTACACTTAAAAGTTATTGAAGACTCCAAAATAACTTTTGTCTATGTGCTTGTATTTATTGATATTTACCATATTAGAAATTCAAACTGAGAAATTTTTAAATGTTCTTTTAAAAATAATAAATTCATTAAATGTTATAATTAATATTTTTGTGAAAACTATTTTGCAAAACAACAACAAAGCAATAAGACTGACATTTGTCTTACTTTTTTTTGCAAATCTAATGTGTGGCTTTAAAATGTTTTTACTTCTGTTAGTTTTACCTCTGAAATTCAGAACAGTGGTAAATAGTGGACTGAGATTTTTATGATAGATTTCTACTTTGGGGAACATCAGAATAGCAGTGATGATACCCATTTTGGCAAGATCAGTGTAGCAAGGGTGATTCACAAAGTTATTTGCAGAATACTATGCTTTAAAGCTTAGAGTTATAAGGGATGGCTCTGGGTTCCAGCTATCAGTAAGTAGCAGTGTGATTTGGGGCAGGTGATTTAACCTCTTTATTTCTATTTCTTCCTCTAGAAAATTGAGTGGGTGATATTTCCATTGGTCCCAGAGTTTTGAGGATTATATGAAATTGAATATGTTAATGTACTTGAAACTAAATAAACTTTTTTTTATTTTTGAAGTACACACCATTACTTTTTTATTGTACAAGGGAATCCTGTCTTTGTATCCCTTTCTGTCATACAGGTTTTTATTGCTGAAACAGTCTCGCTCTGTCACCCCAGTTAGAGTGCAGTGGTGTCAGCATAGCTCACAGCAACCTCAGACTCCTGGATTCCAATGATCCTCCTGCCTCAGCCTCCCAAGTAGCTAGGACTACAGGCGCATACCACCACGCCCTGCTAATTTTTCTATTTTTAGTAGAGACAGTGTCTAGCTCTTGCTCAGGCTGGTCTCAAACTCCTGACCTCAAGTGATCCTCCAGCCTCAGCCTCCCAGAGTGCTAGGATTACAGGCATGAGCCACCGTGCCCTGGCCTCTCAGACAGTTCTTTACAGAAAACTCGGAACTATTAACTTAGACAATTTTCAGAAGTATTCTGGGAAATTGAAGGAAATGGAATTCCCCCCTTGATTCCTGTGCCTATGCCACCCTCTTTCTTTTTTGGTAGAAACAAGATCTTGCTATGTTGCCCAGGCTGGTCTTGAACTCCTGGCCTCAAGTAATACTCCTGCCTTGACCTCCCAAAATGCTGTGATTACTGGCACAATGTACTGTGCCCTGCCTCATTGGACTCTTTTTCTAAATACATCATAATGAGCCTATTGTCATAATATTTTAGGAATTGAAGAGACTATGAAGGTCATCTATTCCAGTTCCTCTTACTTCATAGATGAGACTGATGCTGAGAGAAGCTAAGCTACTTGTTTAAGATCTTTTAAATAGTCCAGTGGTTCTCAGTCTTGGCTGACTTTGGAGCCATCTGTAAAGCTTTTAAAAAATACTAATGTCCAGGGCCCACCCTCAGAGTTTGTTTTAATTGATCTTTGTAAAGCCCCCTGGGTAATTATAATCAAACATTACAACACTATTAAAATGAATCATTTGCCTTTTAACATTCTCATTTAGCCTTTAACATTGAAGCATTCTAACTATTGTAGATGAAACCATTATATTTCTTACACCTTTTAGGTTGGCGAACTTTACTTTCTTTCTTTGTGGAAAATAAACCTGTAAACTTTATGGAAAAATCAAAACTTTGATGTTGAAATCTTTATTTTCAATTAATTTATCAAGTCAACTAGTAAAGTTTTTTAAATCTATATATGTGTAACAGATGATGTTAAAATGAAGTTTTTGCCTATCCTACCTAAGATTAATTTTTATCTTCCATTATTTATTCAGATTCTGGAATGTAATTTTTTTGTTTAGACTTTTTCCCAAAAATTTTTATTTTTCCTATATAGGTGAAAGCACTGAAAGAGAAGATTGAATCTGAAAAGGGAAAAGATGCCTTTCCGGTAGCAGGTCAAAAATTAATTTATGCAGGTATGAATTAAATATTAAAATTAATATGCCACTTCTTCCTTACAGCGATATTATTTTAGTTTTAGAAATGTTATCTTACAAATTGTAGTGTATTCAAATTGATTGTCAGAAATATTGTACATATAAAAGCAGTGAAAGAGCAGTGATTTGAATATAATATTGATATTCAATCTTCTCTTTATTCACATTTGCTCTATGTATTTTTCCATCCAGTGATGTTAGTTTTGTTCAGTTTTATCTTCTGTAAGCATCACATAACTGGCTTTTGTGTTTTTAGTCAAACTGAGCTTCTTTTTAAATTTGTTGAATTGAAACCATTTATACTGGTTGTGTTATTAGCGTACTTGGAATCATTTCTGTAAAGTTAAATTTTAACCAAAATTGAAGAATATTAAACTTACATGTTAAAAGACACTATAACTGACAGGAAGGAAAACAATATTCAGATAATATATAGAATTCTTAGAAACCAATAAAGAAAGGATCACTGATAAAAAAGCAGCAAAGGAAATGAATAGGAAATTATAAATTTAACTAGCCTCACTGGCAGCCAGGAAAATGTATATTGAAAATAGACTTGATACCTGAATTCAGTAGAGAAAATTCTCTTTATTCTTCAAAGGAAATACTGAACACTGTCATTGTAGATATCAGTAAGGTGGGTCTTTGTTTGCCCATGTATATCTTGTCTTTTTCTGGATGGCATTTTCTTAGCTGAGACTGTTCAGAGGAAATGCTAGCCTCGAGATTTAACCCGATCATTTTTATAGGTCAGTATTCAGAAGCCTGGAGAGGCAGACATAAAATTCAAATTCCCGATTTCTAGTCTTGGCCTGTTTTTTCATTTCTACCCAGACTGTCTTCCTTTTTATCTTAATGCTTGCAGCTTTGGGGTCAATAACTTTTTAAAGATGGGAAGCTAAATTCACAGAATGGGAAACATCGAGTTGTTCTGACCTAATACTTGAGGGTTGGCTTGACCACAACTTTGTGTACTTCTTTGTGCATTACTGAGTTCTGTAGCATCTTGCCTTTTCTTGTATCCTATGTCATTTTCTGAAGTACTTTTAATATCTTGCTTTGATAGCATTGGAATGTTCCTGATTTGTCAGGTGTCTGGTATTTTGGAGAACAGGAAATTTGTTCCTCTCTCCTTCCCATCAGGAAGGAATATAGGTTAATTGCCGGGCCTTTGGGCAGTCATAATATTGAGTTTTCTTTGTCTTCATGATCTTCCCTTTCTCACAACCTCTTTAATATTTTCTTGCCCAACAAGTCTTTTATATAATTAAGTAATACATTTTTTAAAATTGCTTGGCATTTTATATGCAGTATATAAAAGTTTGATATCTTTTAGTCACATGTTATGCTGTTTTAACTATTGTGTTTCCATTTATCTTTATCTTGGATGATTGCCTAATGTTTTCCATTGGGGAAAGTAGTAATTAATAGAGTTGATGTTGGTGATTAATTAATAGAAAGTTTTAAGTTACATGTAAGACAAAAGATTATTGCACTTTAGGTAACATTTTATTCTCTTCTTATATTAGGCAAAATCCTCAATGATGATACAGCTCTCAAAGAATATAAAATTGATGAGAAAAACTTTGTGGTGGTTATGGTGACAAAAGTAAGTTTCAGCCTCATTCTATATTTTTTATGTGTGTGAGTCTTTTAAAGATTAATGATGCCAAGTCCACATAATGGACACAGTTTATACACATCCATCGCAGTGTGCACTTAACTGCTGTTAAAGGTTTTAAGAATTTACCTTGGATCAACCATAAAGTTATTAATTTTATATATTGTTTTAGTATAATTTTTATGTAAATTAACATAATTGAAATATAAAATGTCATGTTAAAATTATTTTTGCTGGATTACTGAAATCACTCACGTAATTATTTTTAAATGTGCTTAGAAATTAAATGTTTCTTATTCTGTAATTTTTAATAAAGGTGCTTTAAATGAACTTGCTAACTTATGTACTAGACAAGCTCTTCAAGGCAGAAAAGGCATGTAAGTTCATTATTTCAGTGATATTTCTTAGTGAAGGAATATATTTTTAGAAATTAAATGAAGGAAAAGGCAATTAAAGAAATAATGAAATGATTTTTGTGAGGAAGTTTTAAACAGCAGCTTTCCTGTGATTTATTGGGCCGAAATATTTTGGGGATGATTCATAGAATAAAAAGTTTTTTCTAAAGCAGAGAATAAACATGGATTCTTTAAGAGACTGCTTTATTTATATACTTGTTTATTTAAGGATACATAATCATGCAGTAGAGAGTTAAGACAAATGGAGAAGTGGTACTCATGAAGTTAATTTTTAGAATTGAATCATCATCATCGGCAAAAGAACAGTGTTACTTGTAGCACCGAAAGTAAGTTTAAATCGGTACTTGCAGCCACTTAATCAAAGACCAAAAGTGGAATAAATGTGGATTTTTCTCCAAAGTCACAAAATAACCAATAGTAGTAGAAAATAGAGTTGAAGAAATACATTTTAATTACTGCATACTTTTGTACTGGGAAACAAAACGTAGCTAAACAGTTTATATGTGTTGGACTTGAAAATTTTTTTAATCTGTTAAGAACCATATTGATTTTGCTACATTTAAACACTTTGTTATATGTTAAACTTTAAATATAGAGAAGCAAAATCATGCCAGGAAACCTTGTCTCGTCTAGTTTGTTTTTTCCAACTGTGGTAAAGTATACATAACAGTATTTTGCAATTTAACCATTTTAAGTGTACAGTACAGTCACATTGCTTTGCAGCCTATCACCACCATCCATCTCCAGAACTCTGTTATCTTTCCAGATTGAAACTCTGTACTTACTAAACACTAACTCCCCATTCCCCCTCCTTCCAGCCACTGGCATTTATCATTCTACTTTCTGTCGCTGTGAATGACTACTTTAGGTTCCTTATATAAGTGGAATCCTACAGTATTTGTCTTTTTATGACTGGCTTATTTTCTTTTAGCATGTCTTCAAGGTTCATCTATGTTGTAGATGTGTTGTAATGTTGTAGCATGTGCTAGAATCTCTTTCCTTTTTAAGGGTGAATAATCTATTTTCTCATCTAGTTTTATCATACATAGCACATAATGGAAAATGTGATAGTCACACATTTGGATATGTTTTATTATTGGTCTTATTTCCTTTAGTATTACAGTAACCTCGACTATTTGGAATTGTAGTCCCCAACCCTTGGTCCCTCTGCGACCTGTTAGGGACTGGGCCACAGAGCTCCTCCCTACCCCCTGCCCTCCTCCCATCCGTGGAAAAATTGTCCTCCATGAAACTTAGGAAAGTAGGGGGTGGTGCACACAGCAGTGGGTGAGCGAGTGCAGCTTCATCTGTATTTACAGTGGCTCCCGCCTGAGCTCTTCCCTGCCTTGGAAAAGTTACCTTCCACGAAACCAGTCCCTGGTGCCAAAAAGGTTAGGGACCACTGATTTGGAACACAGCTAAGAATTAAGCAGAAAAGTTCTCAGAATAGGTGTGTGTATTTGAGGAGTGGATACTTGGAGCCTATTCTTATATTACACAGGATTCTAATGATATTAATGGTTGTTTTATATTGAAGTTAATAGTAGAAGCCAGCTATTCAAAAGGGGAAGAAGGCTGCTATAGTAAGACATTATGGAAACAATGAGAAACGACCTTACTACAAAGAAGAAAAAGGAAAAAGCTATTAATATGAAAAGCAAGAAGAAAAACTTTAAAAAGCAGAAGAGGGCTTGGTACTGTTTAAAATAAGATGTAAGTGGCTCTTCATGCCAATAGAGATCTCGAAGGCATGGTAAATTACAGTAGTATATTGATCACAAATAATTTAGGAAAATATTAAACAGGTATACCACATTTAAAATACATTCTGTATAGATTGGTTATTATAAAGTTTGGGTGCTTAAAACTCTAAATCTTCACCTTCACGGAGCTTCAGTTTATCCACAATTACTTCTTATCTGAGAATTGCTGCATATTGGAGTTTTAGAGCATTATTACTCTGCAGAGAATTATATTGGCAGTTAAGGAAGTTAAGCTAAATGAGAGGCTCTTAGACTAGGGAAAGAAGGGAGTAAATGCTACTCACACTTTTTATAGCCTCTTTGCACCACTTTTCACCAGACACTTTTTCCCCAGTGTGATCCCCACTAGCTCAAATGGAATAAGACACAAGGCAGCTCATTGGTTTTAGAGTTTGATTTATGTTTGTGGCAAATTATGTTGAATTTTAATCCCATCTTCTATTAAGTTACCTTTTGTCTTTAGGAAAGTTATGAGTTGAACAGGTAGTGAACATTGGAGAAGAATAAAACTCATATAGTAGTATTTTTATATACATATACAGGTGTCAGGGGCACCAACACCCCACCCCCACACAGTCAAATGTTTGCATATAACTTTTCACTCCTCAAAAACTTAACCTGTTGTTGACCAGAATCCTTAAATAGCATAAACAATCGATTAATGCATACTTTGTGTGTTATGTGTATCATATACTATATTCTTACAGTAAAGTAAGCTAGAGAGAGAGAAAATGATATTAATAAAATGTTGAGAAAATATTTTTTACTATTTATTAAGTCGAAATGTATCATCATAAAGGTCTTCATCCTTGTTGTCTTCCTGTTGAGTAGGCTGAGGAAGAGGGAGGGGTTGGTCTTGCTCTCTCAGGGGTGAAGGTAGAAGGGGAGACAAGGAGAGGCAGGCACACTGAATAATTTGTATTGAAAAAATTCTGCATGTAAGTAGACCCATGCAGTTCAAACCCTTGTTTGGGAGTCAACTGTAATTGCTTTTGTTCTGTGGGAGGCTTTATGGTGCTGCTTCTAGTTCAGAAAAATGCTGAGCATGTGGCTATAATTTTATTTGGCCATCATTTTTCTGTTTAACTACGTATGCGTCTCAATGTTATTAACCTCTTTGTACTTGGACCTGTTGATTGTAGTCAATATTGGGATTTTCCTCCTCCTCCTAAAATATGGTTCAGCAGACTGTTTGGCATGTTCATTAATAATCATATTTCTATTTATATTTAGATTTCAAGAAAATTATTTTGGTAATGCTTTTAAATGGTTATGGGTACTTTAAAGTTATAACCAGGATTTGGCTGGGTGCAGTGGCTCAAGTCTGTAATCCCAGCACTTTGGGAGGCTGAGGCAGGAGGCTCACTTGAGACCAGCCTGGGCAACATAGCAAGACCCCATCACTGCAAAACATTTTTTTTTTAATTGGCCAGGTGTACTGGTGTGTACCTATAGTCCCAGCTAGTTGGGAGGCTGAGGCAGGAGAATTGCTTGAGCCCAGTAGTCAGAGGTTACAGTAAGCCACTGCACTCCAGCCTGGGATACAGAGGAGTGCATGTCTTTAAAAAAAAAAAAAGTTACAGGCTGGGCGCAGTGGCTCACGCCTGTAATCCTAGCACTCTGGGAGGCCGAGGCGGGCGGATTGTTTGAGCTCAGGAGTTCGAGACCAGCCTGAGCAAGAGCGAGACCCCATCTCTACTAAAAATAGAAAGAAATTAATCAGACAACTAAAACTATATAGAAAAAATTAGCCGGGCATGGTGGCGTGTGCCTGTGGTCCCAGCTACTCAGGAGGCTGAGGCAGAAGGATTGCTGGAGCCCAGGAGTTTGAGGTTGCTGTGAGCTAGGCTGATGCCACGGCACTCTAGCCCTGGCAAAAGAGTGAGACTCTTGTCTCAAAAAAAAAGGAAAAAAAGTTACAACCAAGGTACATAGATAAAGTTTTTTGGGAAAATTATGTGGTTCCCTTTTTTAAAATACATATTCTATATGTTGTAAAATGTTGAGTTCTTTTGGTTCTTTTTCATATTAACTTCATATAAAGTCTGAAGTTGTTGGGTAAAGCTAATTGAGGTTGATAGTTAAGATATGCTCCTGTGAGCTTTGAGAGTAACAGTGATTCAGATTGCTAATATCTATGTCATTTTACAAAATGACATTTTACAAATATGTCATTTTACAAAATTATTTTCAAGTTACACATTTGTATTACTGTTGTTTGTGGCATCCTGTAACAATATTGTCTAATTAGAGATCAGGTAATATGTAGTATTTTATTGTAATTATTTTGCTTTTTAATGTGTTTAGCCCAAAGCAGTGTCAACACCAGCACCAGCTACAACTCAGCAATCAAATCCTGCCACCACTACACCAGTTACTTCCTCCACAGCAACAACTGTGGCTCAGGCCCCAACCCCTGCCCCTGCTTTGGCTCCCACTTCCACACCTGCATCCATCACTCCAGCCTCAACAACCGCATCTGCCGAACCTGCACCTGCTAGTGCAACTAAACAAGAGAAACCCGCAGAAAAGCCAGCAGAGACACCAGTGGCTACTAGCCCAACATCAACTGACAGGTAAGAACTGGATTCTGGGAAATATTATCTCAAAATATGTGTTTAACAAGAACTTCATGCATGAATTTATTTTGATTATTGTTTTGAGCAAACTGACTTTGTATCTTCTATGTTAAGCCCTTTCTAAACTTTGAACTCTGAATAAAGCACATGCTGTATGTGTTTATTTTGATAGTTTACTAAGGAGAATATAAGTATAAATTTTCTAAATCCATATTTTTATGCTCTGCATTGATTTTTTTTCTTTCTTTTTTTTTTTTTTAGGGAAAGGAGAGTGGGTCAAAGTTACTCATTTTGAGTAGAAACGTTAGAAAATATAAATGACCAAAAAGAATAAGAATGATAAAATAATACTACATTGCCACCCCAGTCATTATTTATATTTGATCTTCATTCTTCTTTTGTCATTATCATACATATCATAAGCATCTTTCTATGTCAGTAAATATTTCCAGTTATTACATAGCATCGTGTCTGGTTCTGACATTTGTTAGCTCTTGTAACCTTAGAAAAGTACTTAACATCTTTGGGGTTTTTCCTCATCTGTAAAATGTGGATGACAGTAGGATCTATGTCATGAAGTTGTTATAAGGATTAAATGAGATAGTAAATGTCAAAGATCTAGAACAGCACATGATACACAGTTAAGTGCAGAGTAAGAATCAGCAATGGTTATTTCACCTAACACCTTTTGTTGAACCTTTGGATTGTTTCAATTTCTCACTGTTATACCTATCTTTGTGAACCTGTGTAGAAATTTAAGTTTTTGCTTGTGTAGGTCTTTAGAAAAAAGGGAAAAAGTGCTGTGGTATTTTGGGGTGCAAGAAATAATTTCTTGTGGCAAGTTGGCAGTTGTAGGATTATTGAGCAGTTTAATTCAGAGATTTTTTCCCCTCCCCAAATGATCAATAAAATGACCAAAGTAAATGCTGTAGTCAGGATTTTCTTGGCTGGAAATTGTACAGAGCAATCCTTTCTTCTTCTAAGAGCATGAGTCATATTATGGCCAACCTTCACTGGCCCTGGAGCTGTGTTTGTGACTTAGTGCAACTCAGGACCTCAGTGGCAGTAATTATACGATTTTTGGAATCAGGAATAAACACTATGGAAACCTATGCAATGACTGGAAATACTGACATGAAAGGGTATTTACGATATATGTGACAATGATCTGAAAGAATATAGTCATGATCCTCCATTTTAGTGTTCTGCCTTAAGTGTGGTTTATATGTCTGACCCAGTCAACCATGTTTGGAGGAGTCTGAGCCACCTGGTTTGTCGCTCAATCACGGTCTCTTTCCAAAGAACTGATTCCTGGAGAAGACAATGCAGGTTATAAAATATTTTCCCCATGTTTACCTAAAAAGCTTTTTTAGGCATTCCATGACACTGTTGCCTAATTTGATCCATTTCTACCATGTATATAATATATTCAACTATCTTGCCTAGTAGGAGACAACCCAGAGTCAGAGTAAGCTATTATATCAAAGGGCTGTTGATCAATTCTGTATGAGAGGGAACTTATAAATTTAACAGACCATTTAAATATTATAAATGTAATTAAATGTCTTGAGTCAGTACAGTATATCTTATTTTCTTAAATGCTTTAAGCTCCTTACAAGAGCTCAGTGTAAGAATTCCAAAATTGATTAATACATTTTCATTGATGTACTAATATCATAAATTTAAATTTGTTTCATTATCTCTGGTTTTTTTCTTCCTGGAGGTACAGTTTTATTTACTTATTCTGAAGAGTTAGGATTACCTTTTCAGACCTACAGAAGTTGCATACGTTGATGGTCAGTGATGCAGGAAAGCAGACACTAGAGTTTCCTTACTTAGTTGGATTTTATACATCAACTGCCTAGTCTTATTTCTGAATATTTTACATCTCAGAGAAAGATAACATAGGAAGAAAGGAATGAGAGAAGCTCAGAAAACAAGCTGCGTAAATGTGCCTTAGTTTCTTCATCTGTGCTAGAAACATCTGTTAATAGCATCCTGCAGACCACAAAACTTAGTGCATAATTATCAGGAGACACGCTGGTATGAATTTGTGGGGTGTTGGGAAGTTTGTTCATCATCACTGGCCTGATATTTCATTGTTAGGGATTTGTTTCTTTAGATCAATTTTATTCTTTAAAAACCACCTCTTATAGTGCAAATTCTACTTGTTGATACCTACCTTAAAGAAACTGCATTTTTGCATAATGACTATATTGATTGGAATCAAGGACAAATTGGAATCAACCTAAATATACATCATTAAGGAAACAACTTGACCTGTGGTTTATTCGTAGAAGGGAACAGTGCTACTCAACAGTCGTAGTTGACAAGCAGCATCAACGTCACTAGGAGTGTGTTTGAAATGAATCCTTAGGTCCCACTCTAGACCTCTAAATCAGAATTATCCAGGGGTGGAGCCCAGAAATCAACAAGCTCTCCTGGTGAATTCTCAGGCTTTCTAAAATTTGAGAAGCCCTGGTACTGATAGGGCAATTAAAGGATAGAGTATGGAAGCATATTAAATAAATGTGATTTCAAGGCTTTGTTACTGAATGAAAAAAGCAGTTTGCAAAATAATATAGGCAATAACCATAAAACAAACGAAACCCATAAACAGCATTGTTTCTTTTCCATGGGTATGCATGTTAAAAAGTAGGAAAGAGATAACAAGCTAACTGATGAGTGGTTTCCTGTGTGGTTGGGGAGGGGAGAAGTGGTGAGGTGGAATCAAGATTGAAGAATGGTGGTTAAAGTATGTATACTTCAGTCTTATCTGAGGTGCTTAAAGAGTAATTTTTAAAACAACGTGTGAAAATAGTGCAAATTATTTTGAGGGGGCTAGTCCTACCAGATTTTAAAATGTACACAGTAGCCCGGGCGCGGTGGCTCATACCTGTAATCCTAGCACTCTGGGAGGCCGAGGCAGGTGGATCGCTCAAGGTCAGGAGGTCGAGACCAGCCTGAGCAAGAGCGAGACCCCGTCTCTACTAAAAATAGAAAGAAATTACCTGGACAACTAAAAATATATATAGAAAAAATTAGCCGGGCATGGTGGTGCATGCCTGTAGTCCCAGCTACTCGGGAGGCTGAGGCAGGAGGATTGGTTGAGCCCAGGAGTTTGAGGTTGCTGTGAACTAGGCTGACACCACGGCGCTGTAGCCAGGGCACAGAGCCAGACTCTGTCTCAAAAAAAAAAATGTACACAGTAATGATTAAAACAGTTTCAAATGGCTTTTTAGAAAGATTACTCAGGGAAATAGATAGCAGTAGAGAAATAGACCCAAATAAGGTCAGAAACTTAATGTAAAATTAAGATGTAATTTTAGACCATTGTGGGGAAAATGCCATTGGGATAAATGCCTCACCATCTGGAATGAAAAAAGATGGATCCCTCGTACTGTACACTTATAAAGGTAAATTCTAGGTGGATAAAGATTTAATGTAAAAAGTGAAGCCATAAACTAGTGGAGAACAAGGAAAAAATGAGGATAATCTTAATTTGGGAAAATCCTTTGTAAGCAAGATAACAAAAAAAGTAACAGGAAAAATTCATAAATTTGATTACAAAAAAAATTCTAAAGTTGGAGATCAAAGTCCACATTCCTTGATAAGACCTTGATTTGATCCATGAAATGGAATACAGTACATCTGTGGGGGAAAAAATCAAAGTAGATTTGATTGTGCTGACATGGGATAATTGTTAAAAAACAAAAACACACATTCTAAAAAAGCACAAACAAAAGCAAGACACAGGTTGTTATTCTTTTACATAGAAACTGCTATAGTAAGTGGTCGTCTCTGGGTAGGGCTCTTGGGTAGAAAAAAATGATTTTGTTTTTATGTATTGTTCTTTTTGAAATTTTACCTTTTCCACATGGTAGTTTTACTTACAATAATCACATTGGGTGTTACGATGCCAGGCTCTTTGCTAAGCACTGTACCAGCAGTAATCCTACCCACAACATTTTGGAGTAGGATACTGTTGTTAACCTCATTGTGTTGATGAAGAAACAGGCTTAGAAAGTGTAAGTAATTTATGAATTCAGACTTGGTTCTCTTGCTGTGCTACGGAGGGCTTTCTCAGAACTGAAATAAAGTGTGTTTTTGTTTTTAAAATTGGGACAGAGGGGTGCGTGTATGTTTTAATTTAAACTTCTTACTACTACTCTTACCACTTTGGTAAACTTCAGTTTATTTTTCTTTGGCATGCCCTTTATGGCCTTTCATAATCTTTTGTCTGTTTTTTAGTACAGACTCCTGCCATTCCCCAAAAGACACTTAGTCTTTTTAAACTGGTTTCCTTTATGTTAGAACTTGGATTTATCCCACTTCTGCCTTTTTTGCATATGCTATATTACTGAAATGCCTTCTTTCAGTTTTCTGATTCAAAACTTGCATATGAGACCTCACTATGTAAAGACTTTACAGCCTAATTTGGTTTTTCTATATTTCTTTTGCTGTGACTTGATTTACAAATTATTTAACTTCTCATGTATATTCTTTCAAGGAAATAATCGTGCATTATCTTTTTTGTATTCCTTAGATGAGTAGTAACCAATCTGTAAGCATGTTATTTTATATCTGTGGACATTTAAAATTGTGGATTCTCATAATGGAAAGAGTACTATGATTGAAAATTTTCCCTAAACCGCAATACAGATAAAGCTTTTGGAGTGGGCCAAGTGTGGTAGCTCACACCTGTAATCCTAGTACCCTGAGAGGCAGAAGTGGGAGGATTGCGTGAGCTCAGAAGTTTGAAACCAGCCTAAGCCAGAGTGAGACCTGTCTCTAATAAAAATAGAAAAATTAGAAAAAAATAGAAAAATTAGCATTTTGGCATGCACCTGTAGTCCCAGCTATTCAGGAGACTGAGGCAGGAGGATCTCTTGAGCTTAGGAGTTTGAGGTTGTGGTGAGCTGCAAGTGACACCACTGCACTCTACCTGGGACAACAGAGCGAGACTCTGTCTCAAAAAAAAAAGGCTTTGGATTTAATCTAGAAGAGACTGTTTAAATACTGTAGCCAGAATTTTATCTATAATTAAAATCAAAGAATCTCTTTATAAATTGAACAGTTACTAAACCAATGTAAATTAAATTGTATGTACTTTTTGAAATGTGATTTTTCTAAAAACCTTTTACAGTACATCAGGAGATTCCTCTCGGTCAAACCTTTTTGAAGATGCAACAAGTGCACTTGGTAAGTGACTATCTTGTAAATAACCTATTATAAGAGATAGGGGAGAGGTTTAAGTTTCACTTTTCTAGATCATGATAATGTATTAATTTTGATGGTTGCTTATAATCAAGCTGTAAAATGATTGATTTAGATAATTCGATTAATAGTGTTAATGAAGACTTTGTAAATTAATATTTTATATATTCTTTAAAACTCTTACAGTTAAGCATACTTCTTTCCACAAAGCAAATAATTTTCCATTTTTCAAGTGAATTTTAAATGTGGTCTTAAGGCTCATCTGTGTATGGATTTATAACAAAGTGTCTTTGAAATGGGTGTAAAATTTTCTGCCTCACACTTCATGTTTATTTACCTACAGCCTTCATTCCAACTTATTGGCCCTATAGATTCCCATCTCCCATCTTGTTTGTATTGGCTTGCAGCAAAAATGCCTTTTTATCCCAGCTTTTAATTTTATCTGTTGACTATGCCTTTCCAGCTTCCTTCACCCCTAATCTGTCGAAATCAAGCAACTTCTTTTCTCCCTTTGGAACATCTCTGGTACAGATCCTGCTAATTATTGGTTTATTGGCTGGCAACCCCATTCCTACTCTTTGGTACTCTTAAATGGTAGGGAGTTAGAAAGTCGGGAACAGATGGAAACAGTAGCTTCAGTGGTGTATGGGCTTCTGGATTCCAGCTTGGCTTCTGCGGCAGCGAGGTTGCAACAGCAGTAGCGTCTGCCTCTTAGGATCTGAGCTGGTCCTCTAACCTAATGGGCTTGAACTCCATGATGCCCTTATTGCTGTGGAAAATGGCATGTACACGTAGGGGTAACATAGTTGTTTAAATAATCTAAGATCACCTGGCTGTGCCAAACCCAGATTTCCATCTTTGAGGTACAGTTTCTTGGGACTCTTCTGCTACTGAATACCTTATGAGTTGGTGTCTAGTTAGGAAATCATAAATCACCGTTTCAGACAGGGAAAGGCTTAATCTTAGGAAATTATTACAAAAATATTGGAAGGGCTGGAGAAGAGGATTACCCAGAGATGAGTAAACTGTTCTGTGGCCTCAGGGCTGGAGCCAGCTGGCACTTGTCCCTCCCTAATGCTGCTGAAGGCCCTGGCTGCAGCCACTGCTGCTGCGGTTGGGTTGCATCGATGCTGCGGAGCAGGAGCCCAGGAGTCCATGGCTGTAGCTGCTGCTGCACCTAAGCTTCTGGTGACCATGTCTGCCTTTTTACATCTTTATATCTCCTAAAGCACCCGTTCTGTTCTCAGCTTTATGGTCTCAGGATCCCTTTCCTCTTTCGTCTTTAATTTACCCGTTGTCTATGTTGATTCTCTGTTTCTTTAAACTACTTCTGTGATACTACTCTTTTCCTGATCCTGATACCTCGCACTATTCCTTCTCAGGCTTTCTAGTTAATTCTTTTTATTTTCCTGGCCCTTAGATGTATGTGTTCTCTATGGTTCTGCTCTAGGCCATAGTTCAAAGCTTAAACTGTGGGAATGGCTAATACCAGCCATGCATCATAAGATTCCCCAAATTAAAACTGTAGTACAGCTCTCCCTCTCAGCTCCTAGACTTACTTTCTTAAACTGCCAGCTGGAAAACCTACAACCTCCACGACCTTAAGTTTCACATTGACTTATCTTTTATCCTCCCGTCTGATTCTTTTCCTTCATTCTCCTCCTTGCACCATCACTCAGTCATTCATCCTTGACCTAAATTGTAGCATGATGCTGGACCTAGACCCTCTGCCTGTCTTGGCCCAGTGAGTCTGATTCTCTTTCTTAAAGTCTCTGAAATATTTGTTTCCACTACCACTTAAGTTGCCTTAGTTCAGGTCCTTACCTCACTTATATTATACTCTTGCATTGTCTCCTTCCATCTGCTTTTCTGGCCTGCCGCTTCTCAGTGCAGCCTCAAACTCATGGGCTTGAGTGATTTTCCTGCCTCAGCCTCTTGAGTAGCTGGGACTACAGACATCGGTCACCATGCCCAGCTAATTTGTTAAAATTTTTTGTAGCAGCAGTGTCTCACTATGTTGTCCAGGTTGGTCTTGAACTCTTGGTTTCAAGCGATCCTCCTACCTTGGCCTCCTAAAGTGCTAGAATTACAGTCGTGAACCACTGCACCCAGCCCAGAGTGGACTTTCTAATAGCATCGTTGTTAGTTCCTTTAATAGCTCCTCATGACCTAGAAGATAAGTCCAAAGCTCTTCTTAATGACATATATAAGGTTCTTCATCACCACCTCTTTAGCCTCATTAGTTCTGTCTCTTTTTCATTCTCCCTAGTTTTTTTACAAGTCATTTGCCTTTGTACTTTTAAGACCTACAAAGTAGCACTCAGCTTATGGGCATTACTTTTTGAGTTTTTGTAATTTGATTAATTAGGAAATATGACTTGAGGAGGCATAATTAATGATTCAGCGTGGAGGCTCTGGACTGGACAGCCTGTGTTTGTATCTCCACGCCATGACTTATCAGCCATTGATACCTTGATCAAATTATTAATTTCTCTAAGCCTCAGCATTAAAAGGAGATGAAAATAAACCTTTCTCATGAGGTTCTTTTGTGAGAACTAAATGAGATACACTGTGTTAAAATAGTATAGTTCTGATTCTCTACAACTCTTAATTTTGATTGTATTAATATTAATGCTGATTTCTGTATCTGGGAACTAGGTTACTGAAAATGTATTGCCACTTGAGTGGCTTTGTGCCAAAATTATATCAGTGGACAATTAAGAAAATAAGAAATATTAAAAAGTATTTTATGGGATGGGAAGCCATTACTTTAAACAAGATATCAAATGCTTAATTTGCTCAGTGATGGGGTTTTTTAAGCTATTAAATACCTTTATTTTTGAAAATTTTGCAGAAAAATGATTTATTCAACAGATAGTGTGTTAGCCACGTGTCAGGGAAATGTGTAAAATGACATGGTCCCTGCACAGTTGAATCTGCATAATAAAACATAAAATAAGTTGCAAATCTTGATAAATGATATTAGGAATACAGAGGGCTTCTATAAAGAAAAACAGAAGGCTACTTAGGATTGCTAGGCAATACTTCAGATTGTAACTTTGAAATTTAGGACCAAAACATGGGAAGGAGTTGGCGTCCTGAGAAAGCAGGCGTGGTAAAGGCTCTGGGGCAGGAAAAGGCATGACCTGTTGAAGTAATCCAAGGAGGAGGAGTGTGATGGGTAGAGGATTGCTGAGGGCTGGGAGCCCAAAAAAGACGAGGTTTTCTTTTTTAAAAGTTCACTTTTAACTGGCTAAAGAATGGATTGTAGGTGTGGGGGCAGGAGTGGAAGCAGAGTATAGTCCAGACCTTAGACGGCTGTGGGCTGCTCCTGAGTGATGACAGTGGGGAGAGAAGGATCTCGGTGGATTTGGGGTGTAATTTAGAGATAGAACCTACCAGGTGTGCTGGTAAGTAAGGTGTGGAAAGGAAGGGGAAAAGAAACAAATCACCAGGTTTTCTGGTTCAAGCACTTAGGTGGATATAGGTGTCATTTATTGAAAGGGAGAAGACATAATGGTGGGACACATTGAGGGGGAAATCTTTATTGGAATTAGTTGAGTGAGTGGAATGTGAGAAAGTGGACACAGCATGCTGGATAGCTATGGCTTTGAAGGGAGAAGAGCAGATAGTTCCTGAAAGAGGAATTGGGATGGGATCAAGGGAGGTGTGTTTTTATTTTAGGGGGACATATAGGACATAGTTAGCTTCTGATCGGGATAATTAAGTAGAGAAGGAAGGGTGAAGGTGGAAAAGAGAGAGAATAACCAAGTGCAGCTCTTTGAGGTGGCAGTAAAGGCAGAGGTACGCAGAGCACAAGTGGAAGAAAAGATCATTTTAAGTGAGGCAAGTTTATTGGGGGTAGAAGGCAGCTTTTCATTCGATCAGAGTATTGTCTGCCATTTTCATGAAGAGTGAGTTAAGTCTTTCTCTGAGAGGAAGGATTGGAGAGAGTCTGTGGGAAGTGACTTATTGGAATAGTAGTGCTTAGGGCATTAATACCACTTTTGTGTGGCATATGAGATTCTAATTTTCTAGCTCCTATCCTCACTTTCCCCACCATTTTGATAATATAACTACAATCTTGTTGCATCAGAGTTGATTGCTCGAAATGCCCCCCTGCATGTTTTCAGAATTCGGTTCATCTGTCTGTTACAGGTGGCCTTCCCTGACCTCCCACTAATTCTCTCTTAACTTTGTACCTGCTATTTCTGTTGTACTTAAAAAATACATTGTATTAATTTTCTATTGCTACTATAGTAAATTATCACAACCTTAGTGGTGTAAAACAACACAGATTTATCATCTTGTAGTACTATAGGTTAGAAGTCTGACTGGGAGCTCACTGGGCTATAAAATTAAGGGGTCCACATTTCTTTCTGGAGACTCAAGGGCAGAATTCAGTTCTTTGTCCTAACCAACTTGTAGAGGCTGCCCACACATCTTGGCTTGTGACCCCTTTCTCCATCTTTAAAGGCAACAACATAGCATTTGACCCTCTCGTGTGCTTTCTTATACTTCTAAGAACCTTTGTAATTACACTGGGCCCACTCAGATAATCCAATAATCCAGGATGAATTCCCTATTTTAAAGTCAGCTGATTAGCAGCCTTAATTTCATCTACAACTTCAATTTTCCTTTGTCATGTAACCTAATGTATTTATAGGTTCCAGGGATCAGACCATGGATATCTTTGAGGTACAATTTTTCTACCTACTACATGTATGTTGTAATTTATACTGTTATTCATCTTTGTATTCCAATACAGTAGTGCCTGAAACATTGTATACATGTATACATACAATCAAGAAATTTGTAGAGGATGCTGATTAAAAATTTTTTTTCCCCTCCACCTGCTCCCCCCTCTTTTTAGTGACAGGTCAGTCTTATGAGAATATGGTAACTGAGATCATGTCAATGGGCTATGAACGAGAGCAAGTAATTGCAGCCCTGAGAGCCAGTTTCAACAACCCTGACAGAGCAGTGGAATATCTTCTAATGGTGAGAAGTGTGTTTGACTTTTCTTCATTTTAGTTGTTTAGTATCAAAATCTCGAACAGATAGATTTTAAAGGATGGGTTAACAATTCACAGAGAAGAATAATGTATTTTAAAAATATATAATACTGATGTATTCTAGATAATTTATATAATGCTCTTGTTTTTCCTAGTATGTTAACATTTTTTGTTGATGAGTTAACAATTCATGGAGAAGAATAATGTACTTTAGATAATTTATTTAATGCTTTTATTTTTCCTAGTATGTTAACATTTTTGTTGATAAAATGTAACGTTTTTTAAAAGATTCTGTGGTAGGTTTTAGTTAGAAAACAGCATGACTAAATGATTATAAAATTGGCTATCCAGTTAGAGTGTAGTGCCTTGTACTCCAATTATGTCATCCGCAGTGGATGACAATTGTGTGTCGGGGGTGGAGGGGAGATTTTTAATCTAATGATCCAACATTTCAGTAGCTTTTCAGGTGTCAGTGTGATATCCTGGATGAATTATTTAGAGCAAAAATGTCAATCTGGGAGCCCAATCTAAATTTTATTTGATTATACTTAGTAAATTTCTGTAATTAGTTGCCAGTTTTTTAAAGTTGGGAGAGTTCACATAAAAAATACAGATTTCCAGTTTATCTGGACAGTCTTGATCCTGGATTTTTGTATTCACTCTCTGTACCTGATGTAGCATCATGCACTTTAATGTATGATGTTACTTGCCTGGTTCCATTGGCATTTGAATTTGTTAGTGTTTTTTTTTCTATAGTCAGTAGCAGTTGAGGGACTTTTGAATAAAGTTTTTTTGTTTTGTTTTTAGGGGGGTTTTTTGGGTTTTTTTACTGACGACAAAGGGTTTGGAGAAATAGGTTGTTGTGGACATTGACTGAAACCCTTGCTATTTTAGACATTAAAAGAATTCTGAACATAGAATTTTGTAATAACATTGGATTAACCTTTTTTTAGTCTTAAACTTTTATTCTATAATTATGTTTGGTGTTTTGGAGTATTATTAAAGTCTAAATTGCCCTGAATATCATCTTGGAGATCCATGGTCCTAACTCTCGGGGAATGCAGTCCACACTTTCTATTCCTTTGTTTCTAGGCTGTCCTTCTGTTTAGAGACTCCTTTTCAGGTAGCCAGTTGTGGGAGAGTCACAGTCGTAAGCTAAATAACTGTGCTCTGCCTCCACCAGTTACTTGCCTGTGCATTTGTATAGAAAGTCACAGAATCGTTTCTGGGCATATCATTTTGTCTTTTTGAATTCACTTTTCCATTGTCTTCTTGGATAGTGTCTTTAAATGCTACCAGTTCATTTATTTATCCAGTTTGTTTGGAATTGAGGAATCATATCGAATTGATGATTGTTAATTGGTAATTGGATGTCTTCCAGATCCTATAAAAATGTTGTCTTATTTTTTATGAGATGGCTTTAATTTATACCTGATTTAGATTCTTTTTAATTGCATCAGTTAGTTTGATCTAATGGATGTGAAGTTTTGAGGTATAAAAAATGAATCACTATTTCTAAATTCACTGAATTTTAAAACTGCTATATAGCAACAAATGCAAATAAATAGATGAGAGATGAGTTCATGAAACAATTTAACTAAAATTTTTTTTATGTAAGTGAATGTGAATGAATGGAAAGAAGAAATGTTGATCCCTTATCTAATAAGAGGCTATATACCATTAGAGGTAGAGATGTAGCAGTGATAGTTAACTTTTTAGTTTAACAAACCTGTTTGAGAATTTGATGGATAGACCCTAGACCTGTATATAGTTTGTTAGCATTTAATAACTCCTCATCTAACGTAAAGGTTTGAATTTTGGTGAACTCTGAAAAACAATTGTTTCCAATGCCTACATTAGTAACATCTACTGCAGGCAGCCATTATCCTGTTATTCATTACTCTTCATTCTTTATATGATGATGATGAGCTTGGCTTCTGGCTTATTAGCAAATGGAAGCATTTGCCATCTTTTATTCAATTGTAATGTTTTCTTCATTCTCCTTTCAAAATCTATAATAATTTGATAAAGACTTTAAAAGTTATGATGAGATGTCTATAAATCATATGTATCAAAATAGGGTATCCTCAATTTTAATGCAGTTTTAAGCTATAATAACTTCAGAAGATAAATACTACAAATTTACAGAAAATATCACCTAAAAGTTAAATTGTTTAAATTTCTTTTATATCTATTTTGTGAATTTCGAAAAATTAATTTTTGTATGCCACACTTTCTTGGTACCATGGATCAGTGGAGGAGGTCCTCCTTAAATGTCCACTGTGGTACCCGATCTGTAATCATTGGGCCTTTTATTTTCCCAGGAGTCATTTCAGAACTGTCAAGTATGCATTAAAATGTCTTTCTTCGGATGATCTTGAGGCTTAGGGGGTTACAAATGCAATCTTTTCTATCACTAAGCAACAGCTGATGAAAGTTTCTAAAAAGTTCAAAAATCAACTAGAGCAACAAGTTGCACAAAAACGTTGGTTATATTCAGTTTTCATAAATACATATATCAGGGTTTTTAAAATTTTAAAAATCAGATGTGGTAGGTATCTTATTGAACAGCAGAGCTAGAGAACATTTCCAACATTGTGGAAAGTTCTGTTGAACTATGCTGCTTTATATTAAAGCACTGTGGGTTTTTCTGTACCATACCCAGGCCATTTCTAATCTAATTTGAATCCTTGCAGCTTAATAATCCTTTACTTATATTATTGAAGCAGACATCGATTTGATGCTTTTAGAAATTAGACAGGAATATGAAATAGACTATAATTCTCTTATTCTGTATAATATTTAACTAATTTTGTATGATGGGATATCTTAAAGCTTGGAAATTGTGTTGTAGGGAATCCCTGGAGATAGAGAAAGTCAGGCTGTAGTTGACCCCCCTCAGGCGGCTAGTACTGGGGCTCCTCAGTCTTCAGCAGTGGCGGCAGCTGCAGCAACTACGACAGCAACAACTACAACAACGAGTTCTGGAGGTAAAGTGGAATCTTTTGGATGAGGAAGAAATGGTCCTGAATTTTTAGCACGAAATAATTTAATAATTTAAAATACTTCAGAAGTGAGGTTCATTTCCATAGCATTTGGATAACTCTTAAGATAAGTTTTCTATTCGCTAATGTTGGAGAGAGGCCCAAAAGAAATTCTACCAAGTGAATGTAACATATTAAACATCAGTGCAGCAGCTTTGTCAAAGGGAATATTCTATTTTGTTTATTGTAAGGAAAAAGATGCTTTCGAGTTTGCATGTAGTGTTACTTTCTGAAGCCATGTGGGATGGTTTGTTGCGTTGTGTCTTTATCTCTCCATAAATGTTATAAAGTATGTATAATTTCAAGGCCAGCAGCACTTTAGTAGTTATAATACAACCAAGGAAATGAAGCCCTGAGAGTTTTAAAATCTGGTTAACTAGAGGGGAAGGCAAAGCTTGAATTCAGGTCTCCTTACTGGTCGGTACCTATGCTCCCATTGCCATAGGTCTGGCTACAGAGCAAAGCCTGAAGCCTGCAGACCTAGAAATTACATAGTGTTCTCCTTTATTCATTCTTGTATATACTGATAAAGTAATTTAGACTATTAATTTTGAAGAGCCCATTCTTTCACACATTTCCTAATTCTAATTATGGTGGTCACCTCTGGTTGACAAAAATCTCTAAGTGCTTTGTGTACAGTCTCCCAGAGATTAGGCCTTTCATTTGTTGAGATTTCAGCATGGTAGTGGAAACAGGAGGCCACAGCTCTACTTCATATTTGGGGTGCTGTCCCATTCAGCACTTGTTAGGTAACAGAGTCTGTGAGTCTCATTTTCTTCATCTAAACAGCTACTGTCATACATAAAAGAATAAATACCCATGTGTTATGGTCATTTTAATTCGAATGATTGTCTTCCTGAGGTAGGAAATGACAACATACATCTAAAAATTCTCTTTTACTCATTAGTAACTTCAAAAAACATAATTCTTTAGTTTGCTACAGCATAACCAAATAAGTACCAGCACCCCAAAAAAGTTATAGGTTCTGTATGTTATGCATTACTTGGCATTATTAATATTTATTATCATAAACGGATCTTGGACTCTAGATGTATTAGCACTGGATTGTCTTGGAGCTTATTTATCTCAATTTTTTATAGTTAACAAATGTTTGAAATATAATAGTAATAACCAAAAGTCTTTTTTCTAATTGAATTAAGTTTGTATTAAAACTCCTGGTCTGCAAACCTGAACTTTAAGTATTAAATATGTTGTACTTCTTTGGTTTAGTATTTCTCAGGTTGTATTCTTTGAGGGGTTTTGGTTGTAGTGTAAAGTAAGTGGGTTTTTTGTTTTTGTTAGCCCTGGTATATATCTCTCGTAGGAACTTTGGAGCAACAGGAACAACTTTTTAGTCCTATTTATTTTGATAGAATACATGTAGGGCACAAGTTCTTAGTATTACTTGATAATATTGAGTCCCCAGGGCAATTCTAGGGAAGCTTAATTCATATTATAGTGTTCCGCACTCTCTACCTTTGCTATTAGGAATAATTTCGGCTGAACAAAACTTGTCAGTTGGTACAGTTTGAAGATTTCTTCGTTACTTACTTCATTTTATTAATACTAAATCTCAGGACTCAAATCATTTTTTACTTGATAACATTTGCTGTCTAAATGTGTGATTTAACCAGCTCTTTGTATATGTATTTACTGCTTTTGTTTAAAAACGTTTATGTGTATTTTAGGACATCCTCTTGAATTTTTACGGAATCAGCCTCAGTTTCAACAGATGAGACAAATTATTCAACAGAATCCTTCCCTGCTTCCAGCACTGCTACAACAGATAGGCCGAGAGAATCCTCAATTACTGCAGGTAACTATTTAATCACTGTCAATTTTAGAAGTAGGGTTAGAGGGTATCACATTTTGAAAAAGTCCATGGATATTGCTCCTCCTTCCTACCACCTCTCTTTTTGAGGATGGTGAAAGCATTCTTCTAAGCTGCATTCAGAATAGCATGCCCTAGATAAGGATACTGAAAAAAAGTTGGGATATGGAGGTTGGGTTAATTTAAGTTGGCCAAATAATAAGTTTAGGGAGCATTTTACATTTCCTTCTTGGAGATTCCCATTGCACATTAACATATTAAAGAATCTGAGAAGTTGTAGTCCCACAGTAGTTTTTTTTAACATTGTTGGGGGTGCGGGGCACATGAATGAAAGGATTTGAATTCTCTTCACTGTTGACTTTGCTCAAAAGTATGGAATTTCTTTAATAATATAAAGAAATCATATCCTTTCAAAGAGTAAATAATTAAGAATCACTCTAAAATACTACATTTGGGTTAAGTATGACTTTTATTTATAATTCCTATTTTCCTGAAGATATTTAATATCAGTGTATCGTTTTCCTCTGTCTTTCACATCACCACAGCAAATTAGCCAGCACCAGGAGCATTTTATTCAGATGTTAAATGAACCAGTTCAAGAAGCTGGTGGTCAAGGAGGAGGAGGTGGAGGTGGCAGTGGAGGAATTGCAGAAGCTGGAAGCGGTCATATGAACTACATTCAAGTAACGCCTCAGGAGAAAGAAGCTATAGAAAGGGTGAGTTTAAGTGAAACTAAAAATTCAGTTTCTTAGTCTCACTGGCCACATTTCAGATGCTCAGCAGTTACATGGGGCTAGTGGCTACTATTGGATAAAACAGATAAAGAGCGTTTCTCTTCACCTGAGATAGGTACGTTGGACAGAGTTAAATAGAGCATGGCCATAGAGATTGCAGGTAGGGCAGTCTCTTCTTAACCCTGCCCCCTCCAACCCCTTGTTCTTTGTAAAGTCAAGCGACTAGCAGTAAAGTGCCAGTCTTGCATGAAACAGTTATAAATATGTTAAGAAACTAAAAATTTCATTGATGTTTTAAAATTCAAAAAGGAAGAAAATAGAGTGTATTCCCAATTGTAGATTATTCATTTTTTATTTCAAATTTTACTTTACTGTTGGCACTAAAACATAAAATAAATATGTATGAATTATATGAGAATTCTGTACATTAAACATTAGAACCCAGCTATGCTAATTCTCTCTCCATCCTTACCAAGTCAACCAGTCAAGGTTGTGGCACCGCAGTAACCTAGTAACCTAGTTTTTCTGATACCGTGATTATTCATTCATTTTTTTCCCGCTATTTTTAACATTTGTAAGCAGGGAATCATAGTGATTGTAGGACTGTCTTGTCTTATCTCACAAAGTATTGTGAGATGGAAATCAGATAAAAGTGCAGTTTAATTTAGATAGTGATCTGGACAGTAATTTTTTCTTGTTTATGATACACAGGAGTGTTCAAGGTTTATAATTATGTGTTTTCTAAAAGATATATATCGTGCCGGTGTTTTTTCTTTTAATAACACAAATGAATAAATGACACTTGCCTCAGTTGTTTTATAGCAGGTATTTTTCTTTTGGGGTTATGGTTATCAGTTCCTGATTTTTGTGTTGGAGATATTTTTTCTATTTTTGTCTTGTACTTTTGGTGTCATATCTAAGAGAACATTGCCTGATCCAAGGTCAAGTGGTTTACTCAGTTATTTTCTCCTAAAAGTTTATAGCTCTTCCATGTAGATTTATAATCCATTTTGACTGACTTTTTGTACATGGTGTGAGATGTAGAGATCCAGCTTCATTCTTTTGCATGTGGATATCCAATTGCCCCAGCAGCATTTGTTGAAAAGACTACTCTTTCCCTATTAAATTGTCCTGGCACCATGTCAAAAATCAATAGACCATAAATGTGAGATTTATTTCTGGGCTCTCAATTCTATTTCATTGATTTATATGTTTATCTTTATGCCAGTACCTCACTGTCTTGATTACTGTAGCTTCCTAGTAAGTTTTGAAATTGAGAAATGTCAAGTGCTCCAATTTTCTTCTTACTTTCCAAGGTCGTTTTGGCTGCTCTGGATTCCTTGTATTTCCCTATCAATTTTAGCATCAGCTTGTCTAATTTCTGCAAAAAAAAAAAAAAAAAAAAAAAGCTGGCTGGGATTTTGATAGGGATTGTGCTTACTCTGTAGATGAATTTGGGGAGTATTTCCATGTTAATAATTACGTCTTACCAAGCCATGAACATGGGATGGGATGTCTTTCCATTTATTGAGTTTTCCATAATTTCTTTCAACAGTGTTCTATAGTTTTTGGTATGAAAGTTTTACATTTCTTTTGTTAAATTTATTCCTAAGTTATTCTTTTTGATGCTATTATAAATAGAATTATCTTTTAGTTTTATTTTCAAATTATTCATTACTAGTTATATAGAAATACAATTTAATTTTATATATTGATCTTACATCTTAAAACTTTTTTGAACTCATTTATTCTAATAATTTGTGTGTTCCTTAGGATTTTCTATATATAAAATTAGGTCATTTACAAATAGTTTTACCTCTTTTCCAGTATGGATGCCTTTTATTTCTTGTCTAATTGCCTTATCTAGAGCCTGCAGTATATTGTTGAGTAGAAGTAGCAAGAGCCAACAACGTTGTCTCATTCTTTGTTTTTTTTTTTTTTTTTTTTTTCAGAGTCTCACTGGCCTCAAGAAATCCTCCTACCTTGGCCTCAA